ATATAATTAATAAGAGTTGAAGTAACCTATTTATATGAAATTAAAAAAATGAAACATGACCTTGATTATGTTGTAATGAAGACTTTGAATAATTTTATAGAAAAAAAAGTTATAATTAATAAGAGTTAAAATGACTTATTTATATAAAAATAAAGAAAAATGAAATATAATCTAATTATATTGTAATGAAGACCTTAACTAATTTTATTAAAAAAAAAGTTATAATTAGTAAGAGTTGAAGTGACCTATTTATGTAAAATTAAAAAAAAACAAAACATGACCTTAATTATACTATAACAAAGACCTTGAATAATTTTATTAAAAAAAATTATGATTAGTAAGAGTTATTTATATGAAATTAAGAAAAGTGAAACATGACCTTAATTATGCTATAACAAAATCCTTAAATAATTTTATGAAAAAAAAGTCATAATTAGTAAAAGATAAAGTGACTATTTATATAAAAATAAAGAAAAATAAAACATAACCTAATTATACTATAATGAAGACCTCAACTAATTTTATGAAAAAAAAGTTATGATTAGTAAGAGTTGAAATGACCTATTTATATAAAAATAAAGAAAAATAAAATGTAATTTAATTATATTATAATGAAGACCTTGACTAATTTTATTAAAAAAAAGTTATAATTAATAAAAGATGAAGTGACCTATTTATATAAAATTAAGAAAAATAAAACATTATCTTAATTATACTATAACAAAGATTTAGAATAATTTTATGAAAAAAAGTCATGATTAGTAAAAGATGAAACAAGCTATTTATGTAAAATTAAGAAAAATGAAACATAACCTTAATTATGCAAGACAAGCATATAATATTTTTTCTTGTCTCCATAATACTTTAAGAAATTGTTATTTTTTGCATTGTAAAAGTAAAGAAAAAGTGTCAATTAGTAATCAGATCTTTTTTATAATAAAATAAATTAATACTAATTTTCATCATTATTACTATTGATATACTTTTCTTTAATTGAACTTATCAAAATCTTATAACATATAATTCTGAAATAAGTGAAATATCTAAAAAAGAGAATAAAGTAAAGATATTAGTATTTAGGTTTATATAGAGTATACAAGTAACTATTCAATAAAGTTAAAAAAGACTTAATAAAACTCTGGTAGTATTTTTACAAGGCCCAGGCTTACTAATATTTAGATTACATTTTACTAAATCTTGATCAACATTTATCATTTTTGGAATTTCAGTCTTATTACTATATAGATTGTTGTAGTTAGATTAGATTATTTCATCACTACATTATTATTCATGACACTTACAATCTTGAGTTATTTTATAAAAAAAAAGTATGATTAGTAAAAGTTGAAGTAAGCTATTTATGTGAAAATAAAAAAATATTTTGCTACAATAAGGTCTATTATTTAATTATTTGAATTTTGGTTTATTTTTACTACTCTGTTTAATTACTTTATTATTTGAGTACTACTAAAGAAAAAAAGCACTTTAGAATTTCAATTATATAGACACAGTTTCTAATAAATTAGATAGATTGTATCTGTTAAAAAATATAATTAAAATTTTAAAATGACTTTTTTTCTTAGCACTACTTATTGATATGATAATAGAATATGAAAACCTGTAAATCATTTTATTTATTATCATCACAGTAATATGCATCTTTAATTTTTATATAAGTAAATATTACTGTAATGACAATGAATAAAATGATTTATAGGTTTTCATATTCTGTTATTTATATCATAGTTTGTAATAAGTAAATAATTGATAACTTATATAATAATAGAATTTAAGTTTCAAACTTTATATCTAATTGATAATTTTGTGGCTTTGATTATTTTATTAAAAAAGTTAAATCAGTTTTAAATAAAATCTTTTGATTGATTTTCTTTTTTTAAAAAAAAATTAATCAATATTTAAATAAAATAATTATTAATTTTCAAATTTTTGCTTTATTTAGTAGCAATATAAAATAATAGATTGATATTATTATATAAAGTAAGTAGTTTAAGCACAAGTAATTAAAAACTATTTCCATTGTACTTATGCATTAAAATTAATAAATTAAATCTATAGATCTTAAAACTTGTAAAATATAAAATTAAATGATAAAAATAAGAAAAATGAAATAGGTAAAAATAAGGAAAAATAAAATAGAATTTGGAAATTTTATTCAATTGCATATTGCTTCTAATAAGAAAAAATTGCAAAAAAGAATTTTTTTATACTCTAAAATTTAAAATCTTATAAGATATAAAATCTTGTGTGAGTTGCCAGTAGTATAGTAATTTTATATAAAAGATCTAAATTTACATATAGTTTATATTTATAATCATATATTAAATATTTTTTTAAGAAGTGTAGTGACCTAGTGAAGTGGTCAGGTTGTCAACCTCTCAAGTAGTAAGTTGGGTATTCAAATCCTATTGATTATAAAAATTTGAATAATCATCTATGTAATATTCATATTATAGCAACTGTTACTAATGATTGGATTAGAATACCTATAATGACAGTTGCACCAACATGACTGGCAGGTTATGGGACATCTGTGCAATGTTGGAGTTACATAAAGAAATGCAAACTGATAAATCAGGTGGTTCAAATACTAGATAAGTCCTTGTGACCATATAAATCCATTAAAATTAGGTAACAAGAAGTTTATTTGGAAAGACCTGAATAAAGAGGTAGCTAGATCTTTGACAGCCTTACTGGCTAGTCTGACAAAACAGATACCAAGGTCTAGTATTTAGTTATAGTAGCCAGACAGGCAAGAACTTCCAGGTTGGAAGTCTTAGAGATACTACCAACTAGGCTGCCAAAATGAACTAGAAGAAAAGAATATTAGGCTAATCCAATATACCAATAGACTGGTCATAGTCCTATACAGGCAATCTGAATTGGAAATTTGGTAAAAAGGCAGATGAAAAGGCAGAGATATACTAAAGTACTGGGATTATACTATAAAGTAGATACTAGAGTCTAAGTGAACTCTACAAGGACACAGCAGTTTAATGGTTAAGCCCTAACTATAAGTATTAATTCTGTCATAATGATATCTAGATTAGCTGTAAAAATAGATACAAAAGGCTCTGAAGGGTTTACCTTAAGGATAAATTAGTCCTAAACTTGAGATAATGATCTGGGCATCTGAGTATAACTTAGTAAATTAATACAGATTACAGGTTCAGAGAGTTTAAAATAAAACATTTAAACAGAAGTGTTAGATATAGCAATTGGTAAAGAACCTTTAAGCAGACTTTTTAAATAGGTAATATAGAAAAGTTACATGTATAACCAATTATATGCTCTTCTATAGTAGTTTATTAAACCACAATACTGATAAGTGATTAATAAAAGTTAAAAGACCAAAGAAATTACCTTAATATAAAAAAAAAAGAAGGTTGTGTTTTAATGAATTTCTAATAATAAATAGATTACAAAATTTTGATATAAATTAATAATATATAGATTGGAAAATGATTATATAGTTATACAAAAATATATAGAAGAAAAAGAAAATGAGATAGAAATAAAAAGTAAAAAAAAAGTTTTACAAAAGAATAAAAAATGAATTTAGCTATAATTTAACTAATATTTGATCAAAACTCTTTATTTAAAACTTATTTTAATTAGACAAATATATACTATAATTTTATTTAAGAGTATAAGACAGATTATAAAACAGAAATTGTAAAAAGATTAAATTATTAAAACTGAAGACTAAAATTTGTCAATACAGTTTTCTTAGTGAGTTTAAAAGTTAGAAGTGTAATATTTGCAAAATATATATAAAATGAAGAATTGAATAAGTTTATTTAAGAAATCAGAATAGATTGTTTTAGTAAAATAAATAGTTATAAACATTTTAAACAAATGATTTTTTAGTTAATTTTTTGTATAATGAATTTGTAGAAAAAGTTTTTTTTTTGTTAAAACAAACAATTTAACTAGTTGCTAATAAAGTTTTCAGATCTTTTTGTATAAGATATTATAGAATTAGAATAAACTAATCTTGTAACTCATTAAATTTATATAAAAAAACCTTTTATTCAATTTTAATCTTACTTTTCTTTTTTTACAAAACAAACATTTATTAAAAAAAAAATTCAATAAATATTTGATAGCAAACTTATATAATTCTCTTTTAGTTTCTGAACCTTATTAATTGTATTTGTTTAAAAAAAAATAACAAATTACAATTTTGTATTAACTGTTATAAACTTAATAGTTTTATAAAAAATATGATTATCATTTATCTCACATAGATAAAATGCTTAATATTTTAAAAAAATCTAAGTAATTTTCTATACTTGACCTTACAAGTGAATATTGATAAGTTTCTATACATTTAACAAACTGTGAAAAGACAGTTTTTGTAATCTAATATAATATTTATAAGTTTAATATAATGCTCTTTAATTTATATAATATACTTGTAACTTTTTAATAATTAATTAATAGAGTATATCAAGACATTGTATAAAAATTTGTAATTATTTATATTGATAATACTATAGTATATTTCAAAACTATTGATAAATATTTAGAACATTTATGACAAACTTTTATTAGAATTAAAAAAACCAATTTATAGTTAAATTTAAAAATATATAATTTTTAAATACAAAGTTTACTATTTTTAAGGCATATAGTTACCTCTATTGGAATAACACCTGATCCTCAAAAGATAAAAGCAGTTCAGAAGATTCAACCATCTAACAATGTAATCTAACTACATTCAATAAACGGCGAAACGATAAATAAACGCTCAAACGATTATTAATCGCGTAACTTAAGATAAGTGATGAATAATTTTTAATTTATTGGCCAATTTATTGGATGACCCTCGATTCTGATTGGAAAGCGGCTGTGATCGACAATATTCTAGCATAATTTTTTGGCCAGTTCCAAAAATGGAAAAATTTAAAGTTTAGCATATGTTAAACAAGATCTAAATTTTAAGATTGTTTGATCTACGTATCCTTATAAATTTCGCCATGGTCAAAGAGTCGGATCCTTCGACGAATGAAAGAGAATTGATTCTATCAGGAATAAAGGAAAGCATCCGCCTTGATGGACGTGGAATGGACGATTTTAGGCCATTAAAGATTACTCTTGGACCAGAATATGGACGTTCAGAAGTTAAACTTGGTGCCACAAAGTGATAACCTTTTCTTTTTTAATTTACCATTTTTGCATTATACATGACTTTTTTTCCTTTATAAATTAGAGTACTAGCTAAAGTTTCGTGTGAAGTCACTCGTCCATTTCCTGACCGTCCAACTGAAGGAATTCTGACTTTGAATACAGAATTGTCACCAATGGCATTCGCAGGTCTTGAATCGGGAAGGTAAGCTTCTATTATTTATCTTTTTTCTATTTAAATTGCTATTAATCAAAATTCAAAAACCAAAATGCAAGACCTTCGGAGGAAGAAGTTCTTGTGAGTAGAATTCTCGAAAAGGCAATAAGAATAAATCGCGCAGTTGATGTTGAGGGATTATGCATCGTTGCTAATGAACTAGTAAGTTCGAACAGTAGACTCGTAATTAAATTATATATATATATATTATTTATGTTTGATTTATTAGGCATGGTCGATTCATGTTGATGTGCATTTTCTTGATAATGATGGAAATATAATTGACGCTGCATGCATCGCTGCAATATCAGCGCTCTCTCATTTTCGGAGGCCTGATGTCACAGTTATTGGGGAAGATGTCACAATAGTATTATTATCCAAAATTCAGAAATTCTTTTGTATTTTAGCATTCAATTCTTATTTAATTGAGCGCATGGTTTATATTTCTTATATAGCATCCGGTTGATCAAAGAAACCCGGTCCCATTGAGTATTCATCATACGCCAATTTGTGTTACTTTTGCATTTTTTGAAAATGGGTACTGCAATATTCCTTTTTATAAATTTTCTTTATATCCATTCATTAATTTCGTTTCAATCCAGTGATTTGTGGGTGGTTGATCCTTCCTTGAAAGAAGAGCAAATTCGTAGAGGCGACATGACAATAGCAATAAACAATCATAAAGAAATTTGTGTTTTATCAAAGGCTGGAGGAATACCCCTCGAAATGAGCACTATCATACAATGTTCTAAGCTTGCGGCTAGTAAAGTAGAATGGGTTAGAGAAAAAATTCAATCAGCAATAGTCAAAGCTGCCGAAGCGGAAAAACGGTGCTATCGATTTTATTGCCACTTTTTTGTATATTTTATAAAATCTGATGATTTCACATTTTAACATTTCTTCATAACTTGACATACTTTAACAGAAAAACATCAAGAGAAATGATAATTGATGATTGAAAAGCAACAGAAATTCAGGTATGTCAAAATCTAGTGACATAATTCAAGAAATACAATTCGACTTAATACATGAATGCTTAATGAAAAAATGTTTTGCGACATGTTATATATTGAATATCGCGAAATACCATTAAGCTCGTAAATTGCTCGTGAATAAAATCTTTAAGAATACTCTCCAAAAACATATATATTAATAAACATATTATTGCAATTGACAGCTTAAATTTTTCCTCCAGTTGGATTTCGAAACTCCAATGAAATTTTCAAGAGTAAAAGTTCCTGTAGGAATATTAATTTTGACTTTCAGTAGCCTCCAATTTGTTGAATTTAATAAGAAATACTAATATATACAATATTCTAGTCTAGTGCGCCTTATAATCTAGTACTAATCTAGTACTTTGATATGCAATCCGTAAATTACATCTAGTTAATAATTTTTTAAATCTTAAATGTTTTTTAAGAAAACTATTTTTAGATTACTAAGCGAAATTGTAGAGCAGGTTTTTCTGATTCTAATAGTAGTAAAATATTATATAGCTAGATATTATCAAATTAGAGGTTGGAATCGGTTTGTTAAATTCAACTTTAAATTCGGTTTTAATAGTAATGTAACCAGCTTTAATAGCAATCAGGTTTTATAGTAAATAATGGTTTTAATTAGTTGTAAACTTAAATAAACTGGGTTAAAAAAAAAATCAAAATCAGTTTTATATTTTTATGAATATATCATAAATAACTTAATGTTTTAATTCAGTTATTAAATTTTAAACTAGTTCTAACCTTTAATAAATTAATATATTGTATATATAAATATATTATTAATAAGAAGAAGTTGTCTTTTTTTTTTTTTTTTTTTTTTTAAAAGAGAGGTCTATCCTCTATCTCTTTATTAATTAGTCAAATTACATATATA